GATATTCGCCAAAATACCGGGATGCTTTCCAGCAAAACGTACATTAGCGCGACTTGGAATTAGTCAGCATATTACATGTAAGTAGTTACCTACTTGAATGACACCTTTGCTGTCCACACGACTTTGTCCTTATAAAATGTGTAAAGGTAATTTGCACGGGTCGCTCAGTTATGGGACTTTGCCATCATCTAGAAAGGCGTCTGATACTGTTCAGCAGACATGTGCATGGATTTACATATGATCTCAGTGGTTCTTGAAGCAAACTGCAGGCTAGGATCTATGATCCCACCGGATCCGGCGTAAATTTTTTTTATCCTGTATCTATGATCTCATAGAACCTGAAGAGAAACCAAGAACATGGATCTATGATCTGAGTAGATCCCACCATGCACAACATTTGAAACCAGGTTTCCAAGTATTTCTATGTCAATAAGTGCCACAAAACTATGGATTATGACCTGCAATCACATAAAATTTGTGAGTTGCGACTGAGTGATTTTTTTTCTGTGTTGACAAATCATAACTTGAGGATCTATGATCTCACTGGATAGTGGATCTCAAACAAAAAATTAGACTTGGATCTATGATCCCTATGGATCTCTCGATAAATTCAAGATTTGGATCTGTCATCCTGCCGGATCCGAGATCATAATCCGTGGGAGCAGACACCAGATCCATTTTCGCGGATCCATGCACAATGCATATCTATGTCTGCAGTTCAGTGTTCCTACACTGTGACTATGTTGTCATCAAATGATTTCTGTCGAGCGGACCATGAACTGTTCAATTGCAAATAAAATGTCACATTCAATGACCAAAAAGTTTCACTCATGATCGAACGATGTCATCTGTCTCAACAAAATTTCCCGCGATGCGAGTCATAGGACTGGACCTGTAAGCCAGAGGCGTGTGCCGCATTTTGAGCGTGGCACTGTGCTGAGGGCACAATAAACCGGTCGGGTTAGTCACTGCAATAACTAATGCGTGCAATAAGTGCTGCCTCGCTCCTCGGGCCAGGTCAATAGGTCAGGACTCTGATCTGAGCTCTCCTGGATGGGGGAACTCCCCAGCAGTGTCCCGAATTCGCAGGCTGGCTCCGACTGACCCCATTTCGGGGGTCACCGGTCGCGTGTTTCGTTTTTGCAACCAAGGAGAGGCGCTGTACCCGGAGATGCTTCTTTCTAACCAAGCCAAACCGAAACAAACCAAACCTTACCTGATTTAAGCTAACCTACACCTTACAATTACAACCTATAACCTTCAACCTGCAACCTACAAACCTAGAACAGGCCAAAAATATCCACGGGTGGCCGGCTGCGAAGTGCGAACCCTCGACCATGAATCACTAGGTTTAACCACTAAACTCAACCACTAAACAAGCAGCCAACTGTCTGGAATGGGGTGGTGATGAACCAGTTTTCAATGACGCAATTGGGTATTCTCCGGGCAGCGCCTCTCCTTGGTTAGAAAAAGGAAACACCAGGCTATTTCAATTTACGGGCGTGGGACGGTATGAGTCATCCCGAGAGGAGAGTCAGAACTCAGACGGTCCCGGCCGACTCGGCGCCAGCTCCATGCTGAAGCACCCGCGCCGGCCTCGCTTTCAGCCCTTCCCCACCCCGCGTCGGCCGCCATTCCCGCCCACCACGCCGCGGGCTGGCCCGGGGCGCAGGATGAGTCACTGCCTCTCGGGGTCGGTGCCAGGCGGCGGCTGGAGCCGCCACCGCCTGGGAACCCCCGGCGCCGCCTCCAGCTCAGCCGGAGAAACGGTCCGGGTTCATTCATCCACCAGCCGAGACGGGTATTCCCACGGCCCGTTCAGACGGCTGCCCATGCGACACGCCCCAAGGCCCGGTGCCTGTGGATGCGTCATCGCGCTCGGCACCGCGCACGGTTCGTCGGAAGGTCATCTCAGGCTCAAAAGAAACGGTATATACGATTCGAAAGCTGACGGTGAGCTGAATCCAAAAATGTATATTTTATCAAAATCGATCGATGGCCTTTTTTGAAAATTGCGTTTTTGTAAAAACTTTATAATTTTTTAATCAACGGGCTGTCCCGGGCATGCTTGAAAAAAATAAACATGTTTTTTCGAACTCAGTGAAAGCTGAACGCCTGAAGAGCAATATTTAGTGGAGCAATATTTCCTAACATTAATATGCGTCTCCCACAGCCGACAATAAGGCGCAATTACACAGCTCAGTGTCACGATGGACCAAAGTCAGCCACACAGAAGCGTGAAATGACCCTTATCGACTCGCAGACCCGGCGCTCTCGGCCCGCCTGACCGGCCACGGAAAGAACGTTCGGCTCTCGTTCTACTAAACAAATGTCATATTTGTCAGTTTAACTGTCCACATCGCTATTAAAGTTATTCAGGATACTTGTGAAAAAAAATTCATTGTCCTGCTTGATTTACAACATGCTTTAAAGGGACCCTCCCACCTTCAAAAAAGTTTATGAATTGGCATGAAAGTGATGTCGCTCGGTTCAGAAAGAACGAAAACGAATATCTACCAAATTTCACCGAAAAATATTCACCGGTTTTCAAGATATTAGACTTTTACTTTTGTTTACTTTTTGGGATCTCCGCTGTTCCTAGCGACTTTATTTGGAAGCAATAATTTGGCAGCTGAAAGTGCGGCACTTGTTGCGCGCAAAGCAGCATATATCACCGCGTGCTACAAAACGTTTTAGTCAAACATTTAAAAATCGTTAGATATCTGCGCTGACGTCACACATTCAGAGGGATATTCCTATGCATTAGCCCCTCTGAATCAAAATGCTGCAATTTTGAAATTCAATATTTCCGATTTAACCCGCGCCCCACTGGGGTCTGAGTATAACACGCCCTACTGGGGGGGGGGCTATTCATAGCCCCCCCTCCTAACTCCGAAACTACTGGGCCGATCGTCAAAATTCAAACGGCGTCTGATAGCCCCGGAAAAACTGTCGAGCGAAACCTAATTTCATTGACCTCGAGGTCACCGATGACGTCACAGGTCAGGTCAAAGTAAAAATTATTAGCATTTTGCTTGTTCACGTTTTGGGCTCTGGCCGCCGTCTTACAAGTCAGATCAGGCTCATTTTTGGATCACACACTCGTGAACAGATGCTCTAGATACCCCGAGGGTACCAAACTTGTACTTTGATTTTCAGGTCAAGGTCAGGTCATCACAGGTCACGAAAATATTATATCATGCGTCGGTCACGTGACACATTTTTTATGGTCCATTTAGGCCAGAGATTTCGAATGTGATGTCGTCTGTGTCATTCGAGGTCATTTTGAGTCGAATTTAGCTTAGGTCAGGTCACTTTCAGGTCAAAAAAGGTCAAATTTTCAAGTTAAAATTTTTCAACAAAAAAGGTGTCTATTGGATGCAGTTTGAGCTCAGGAACACGATGGTGCTATTTATATTGGCGTACGATGTCAAATACGTGCTAAAAAATTGATTTGAAAAATTAATAATTGTAAATTTTTTGCAATAATGCGTAAAACTTGGCCATTTTTGAAGATATTTAGCTAAAACTTGCTAGAGTTAGTCATAATAATGCGTTCTATCACATATAGGTATTCCGGTTTTTTCGAAAAGTCAAAAACTTTTTGAAAAAAATGTAAAAATATAAATTTCGGATTTTATTATATCAAATTTTCGAAATTTTCAAAATTTCGAAAATCCGAGATAGCAGTTTGATAGCGCAGTCTATTCTGAGTCCTCTCATGCAAAGAAATTGGATCTAGCTTAAAAACTGAGCTCTTGGGAGCGATTGCCGTGGTTCAATGTTTTGCGTCGAAATCGGCCGAACATGACGTCACTCTGACGTCATTTCCGGCCGACCCATGGTAGCTACGAAGTTAAAATTTTGACACAAGGTGTCAAATTGATGCAGCCGAAGGTACTGAAAGTTTGGCGTTGATACGTCAAGCGGTTTGGAAGTTATTGCAGAAAAACGGGAGGGGGGGCTATAAATAGCCCCCCCCCCAGTGGGGCGCGGGTTAAGGCATTTCTCGATGTTGTGAGTGCCGAAACCGGTAATTGTGAGCCAGGGACCCCATTTTGGCTATCTCAACTCAAATCTAATGTTGAGGTGGGAGGGTCCCTTTAATTTACATTTTTCTTATGCATGTATTGTTCCATCCAGCTGCGCTCAGTGCCCGCGCAGGGGAAGTGAGCGGGGTTTCACTGTCAGAGGCTGTACTAGTGACAGCTGCTCGGCCGTGCGACCGGTCAAAGGTTACCCTGCCCCACCGGGCGCTACCCCCACTCCACCCGAGCTGAGGCCGGTACAACCTCTGACATTTCAGCGCGGCCAATTTTCGTTATATGGGCATGATACCAAGCTCAATTGAGCAAAGTAGACATGAACAAATGTAAATTAATGTATGATGTGAAGATGACAGAGCAATGAATTTTCTTCACAGGTATCCTGAATAACTTTAATAGCGATGTGGACAGTTAAACTGACAAATATGACATTTGTTTAGTAGAACGAGAGCCGAACGTTCTTTCCGTGACCGGTCAGGCGGGCCGAGAGCGCCGGGTCTGCGAGTCGATAAGGGTCATTTCACGCTTCTGTGTGGGTGACTCTGGTCCATCGTGACACTGAGCTGTGTAATTGCGCCTTATTGTCGGCTATTGGAGACGCATATTAATGTTTGGAAATATTGCTCCGCTAAATATTGTTCTTTTGGCGTTCAGCTTTCACTGGAATTCAAAAATACATGTTTATATTTTCAAGAATGTCTGGGACAGCCCGTTGAATAAAAAATTATACAGTCTTTACAAAAACGCAATTTTCAAAAAAGGCCATCGATCGATTTTGATAAAAATTACATTTTCGGATTCAGTGCATCGTCAGCTTTCGAATGGTATATATCGTTTCTTTTGAGCCTGAGGTGACCTTCCGACGAACCGTGCGCGCCGGGGTTGCCGACCGGAGCGGGGAGCGGGGGGGGGGGGGGAGGGGCGGCAACAGGGGTGCAGTGTACCGGTACTCACGTCGCCCTCATAGATCTGCGTGGCCACGTCGGCGCCGGTCTTGGACGGCACGAAGAGGGGCGTGCTGGGCCGGTCCAGCAGCGGGTCAGTCTGCACGGCCCGGTCCGCCTCCACGCGCCGGTCGCGGATCTGCGGACCGAGCACACATTGCCGGTAAAACATCCAGTAGCTAGGAGTTATCACCGCAGGAGCAATATCAATTATAATGCACGGAGGGACTACCTACCGCGCTTATCCCACTGAACTATCGGAGACTGGAGGAGACATCAGCATCAGACACCACACCGCTACATCACTTGTTGAAGAAAGACACATTTTGACCCAAATTAAAAACTAATTGATAAAGATTTCATTAGTTACAATACAAAGCTGTATGTATCTAAATTTGCGACGAATGACTTCAATGTTACTAAAAAGCACAGCGTTATCGTCGGGTGGTGTGCAACATGGCGTGACATTTGGCGCCGCTGTGACTCGTGACCAGGAGCGACCGATATGGGCGGCGGGACCGACGCAGGAAACAGCCGCCGGGCACGGCATGCACCTTATGGCCGCGCCAGCCTAAATCGGGGGAACGAGGCCGTCGACCGCAGTGACTTATGTATCCGCCGTGCCCCGGACAGTCCGCGCTGGTATTGACTATTACACATGACATCAATAAACAAACACGATCGATGGGAAAGCACCTTCCGGTGGTAGCCAGAGACTTTACAGGTGTTTTTCAACAATGGTGGCACAATGAGTCAGAGACAACGCACGTGACAATGAGACTGTGCGATGACAACTGATCGGAGACCGCAGCGCGGCCGGCAGCAGGCCACGGGTTCGACCAGGCAGGCGGGGACAGATACACAGGTCAGTCGCGTGCCCCGGAAGTCCGCCTCAGCCGACGGTAACACGCCGACGACCGACAGGAGCGGCGCCGGGGTCCGGGGAGGGGACGTGACGGCCCCACCGCTCGCCACACGCTAATGAGAATATTGATGTTGTCTGGCGTGTTCATCGTAATTGGCATGTCGGCAGAGTTCTATACAGCATGTCCACGCGATGTAAGGGAGGGAGGTCAGGTGTGGGGCCACTTGTTTTACCAGTTATCCTGGGCACTTGGCGATAGCGAGGAGAGAGGAACAGAAAAAGGTGCAATAGGAGTAAAAGACACATATTTTCAACCATTGTTAAAAATTGATTTCTAACCGCGAAGTGGTTATGATCCGTTTATGAGGTGGTTACGGCAAGTACAAGTGTAGCTCAAAATGATGCGATTGCACACCATTTCATACATTATTCTACACAATAACACAGTAATCTATGACCATTTACATAATATGCAGATTTGCAGAATGCATCTAATGCTTAAAACAATGCATGGCATGGTGCACATAAGCTTGATGTACGGTGTGCGAAATGCACATCATGCCTATTCAAAGGAGTCAAGGACCGGTGCTGACCAGGGATGACTCAGAAGCACCGCTCCCACATGGTCGCCGGCACCAGCGGTAATTCGGGAGTGGCCTGCACCGCAGCCCGGGAGGAAGGGATGACATCACCTACCGCGTGCACCGGGCCCGACATCACCGTCTAGACACGGTAGTGTTTGAAATGGTGTTTACTGTGTACTGTATACTGTGTAGTGTGTAGTGTTACTATGTAGTGTCCACTCACCTCCTCCAGGTAGGGCTCGGTCTGGACGCGGTAGTGTTTGGAATGGTGTGTAGTGTTGTAGTGTATTGCACTCACACATTCATCACTCACACTCAAGACTGAACAGTGTACATTCAACTCGACTAATGTGCCCCGCGCCCTTGCCGACGGCTCGCCGGCGGGCACCCGACTCCGTCTCTCGGCCGGCCCGGGCGCGGCGCCGCGGTGCGGCCGTCCCGGTTACCTGACCCGGCCGGCTAAAGGTCGGACTGGCTCCGGCCGCCGCTGCCAGCCGGCGGGGGGCCCGGGGAGGGGTACTACACTACATTCCCTTCCCCCCGAAGCGCTCATCTCCACCAGCGCCTCGTTGCCCGTCCCGCTCGCGTGCGGTACGGGCCCTCCATGTTTCCGGCGTCCTCGACGTCGACGTTAGAGGCATTTCCGGCAGAGTCGTTCCAGACGTCTCCACCTACGTCGACTTCGGTCGCTCCGCCGTCGCCTGTCTCCACTGCGACGGTCCCAGCGCCGCCTCCGGCGCCGTCAGGAAGCTGGTCAGGCCCGACAGCCTCTCTTCTCTCGGCTGTCTCCACGCCGACAGTCTCGGCGCCGCCGCCGGCGTCGTCAGGAAGCAGATCAGGCTCGTCAGCCTGTTCTCACCCGCCTCCTCCGGGACCGTCAGGCCGGCGGACAGATGTATGACACGGGGAGAGTCGCTCGGCATGGACTCTGATGCCACCCTCCAGTTCGAACGACACGGGACCACGCTGTGCGGTGACGACACATGGCTTGGAAAACCGAGGTTTTCCCTTGCGCGGCCTTGGCATCAGGCGATAGCGAACGAGATCGCCTACCTTTATGTCGGGCTTCCTTGCCGTTCGGTCATGATACCGCTTCATCTTTCGCTGCTTCTTCCGGACGTGCTGTTGGATGGCGCCGTCACCTCTGCAGTCACTGCTCTGCACCACGGCGTTCTCCAGTGACGTCCGCAGCTGGCGTCCGTGCAGCAGCTCTGACGGGCTGCGCCCCGTCGTGGCGTGCGGCGTCGCCCGGTACACCATCAGGAACTGCTGAACGTGCCGCCGCCTGTCTGCCTTCTGCTGCTCACCTATCTGGATGGCAGACTTCAGACTGCGGTTGAAGCGTTCCACAGCTCCGGAACCTGCTGGATGATACGGGGACACCTTGATGTGTTTGATCCCGTTAGCCTGCAAGAACGATGCAAACCGTGCTGACGTGAAATGGGTTCCATTATCACTCACCAGCTCTTTCGGCCACCCTTCTCTGGTCGCCACTGACGTCAGGAATTCAATCACGGCGTCTGTACTTGGCTCTGATACAAACGCCACCTCCGGCCACTTGGAGTAGTAGTCTGTGAGCACTATGCCGTACCTCTGATTTGCCGGACCCTGCATCGGACCGATGAAGTCCACTCCCACCTTGTCCCACGGTGCAGTAGGCAGCGAGACCGGGATGAGAGGCGTCCTGGACGTCTTGGCCGACTTGTCCGCGACTGAGCAGGTGGGACAGTTCTTGACGGCCGTCTCCACCTCGCCGTCCATCCCTGGCCACCAAAAGACTGCGCGCAGACGCTGCTTCGTGCGCACTATCCCGGGATGGCTTTCGTGGGCAACTGTCACCACGCGGGTTCTGAGGGCAGAAGGAACAAGTATCCTCTCACCTCTGAACACCACACCCTTCTCGATGCTCAGCTCGTTCCTGTACCTGAAGTAGGGCTTCAGCACAGGCGGCACCTCCCTCAGTTTCGACGGCCAGCGCTGTGGAATCTGCGAGATCAGCGCCTTGACCTCGTCATCTTCAAGGCCTGCTGCGGCGATATCAGCGCTGCTCACCGCCGGCATCATCTCCTCCAGGGCTGCGACCAGCTGGTCCTCGTCTTCTGCAACCCCATGACTGCCGGGAAGGCGTGAGATGCCATCAGCCTGGTTCAACTTCCCCTCGATGTGCTGAACCTGAAACGCATAGTTCATCAGCTTGACGGCCCAGCGAGACATTCGCATACTGGCCCGACCGATGCCCTTGGCAGACAGCAGAGAGCGAAGGGCAGCGTGGTCCGTCCGCAAAACGAACTCCTTGCCCCACAGGTACTTGTGCCACTTCTGACACGCCCAGACGCATGCCAGGCCCTCTCTGTCAGTTACGCTGTACTTGCGCTGTGCTGCGCTGAGCGTGCTGGAGGCGAATGCCACCACTCTCTCTCCATCTGGGTGGATCTGTGAGAGAACGGCCCCGAGACCAACGTCGCTGGCGTCGGTCGTGACGAACGTCTGCAGACTGGGGTCGAACGGTGCCAGCGCAGACGAGTTCAGGATCGCCGACTTCACATACTCCAGCGCAGCTGTCATCTCCTCCGTCCACCGGAAGGCTGGGGCGTCTTTCCTCAGCGGCTGCCGCAGAGGTTCTACCCGAGAGCTGAAGTTGGGCACGAACTTGCTGTAGAACGCGAGGGACCCCAGTGCAGCCTGGAGCTCCTTGGTGTTCTGGGGTTGTCCCATGTCTCGAAGACCTTGGACCCGATCTGGTGAGATTTCGATCCCACGCTCCGACACGACGAACCCCAGGAACTCCAGCGACACAACACCTAGCAGACACTTGTCCCCGTTCAGCGTGATGTCGTAGTCCTTCAGCCGCTTCATGACGGTGCTAAGCCTCGCGTCGTGCTCTGCACGGGTGGGCGCTGTGACCAGTACGTCATCCAGGTAGACTTGAACCCCAGGGATGCCTTGCAGAACAGTCTCCATGAGCTTCTGGAAACACTGCGGAAGACTTTTGAGCCCAAAGCAGCACCGCTTGTACCTCCAGGTCTGACCCTCATGCACGAAAGCAGTGAGGTTTCTGGACTCCTCGTGCAGCTCCAGTTGATGATAGGCTGACTTCATGTCGAGCTTGGACATCACCTTGGCACCTCGGAGCTTGTCCAGCATTTCCTGCATCGGTGGGATGGGGTAGCCGTTTGCGACAATGGCTTTGTTCACCGCCGTCAGATCGAGACAGATCCTCAGGCCCTCTCCTCCTCGCTTCCGGACCACGACAATCGGGGACAACCAGGGCGAAGAGCCACAGGGTACCTTCTCGATGACTCCTTGGGCTTCCAGGGACTCCAGATGGTCACTGACCTCCTGCCGCACAGCGTACGGTAGAGTCCTCAGGTGTGGCGTGCTGGGCACAGCTCCGGGAATCAGACGCACCTTGTGGACGAATCCCTTGATGGCTGGCAGCACCTGATCCTGCTTCACCTGGCAGACGACACTGCCACGGCTCACCGTGACTCCGAGCTGATGCTGGAGATCACGGCCCATGATCGGTACATCACCCACCGCCACGTACAGTTCCGCTGGAACGGAGAGCTGGTCCGGTCCTGTGACGTCAGCTGACATCTTACCCAGCACCTTAATGCCGCTGCCGTTCCACTGGGCGAGCTTACCCGCAGGACGGAGAGGGACGTGACTGAAGAGCTGCCAGTACGTCCTCGCTGGGACGATGCTGACCGCCGAGCCGGTGTCAACCAGCATCCTGACACGCTTCATCTCAATGAAGGCATCATAGTACGGGCACGACACTGACTGAACGACCGGACATACGTCATCCTTAGCAGACACGGACAAAATCTGCACATTGTCAACAGCACCGGTCTTGTTAGAACGAGGACAACACTTGCTTAAGTGTCCGACAGTGTTACACTCGAAACATTTCAGGTTCCTCGCTCTGCACTCCTTGTCATTTGCCCAGTGACCCGGTCGACCACAGGCACGACACGTACCTGACTTCTTCACAGGAGGCTGACGCCGCGTCTGCTTACGCGCTGAGTCACTGCGGCTCGTGCTGCGCCGCTGCCCAGTATACGCCACCTCCACTGTAGGAGCTGAAGGTGAAGTCGCACCGGCAGATGAGTCGTGCAGTAGAGCTTTTCGCTGCAAGCCCCGGTCGTGGGCCTCGGCCACAGCCTCTAGCTTGGAGAGAGATAGGTCATCAATCATTATCAGCTTGTCACGAAGCTGGTCAGAGCGACAACCCTCGATAAGCTGATCACGCAGTATGTCGTCAGTCAGGGCACCATAACTGCAACAGGCCACTGCCTCGCGGAGGTTGGCCAGGAAAATCACGCATGACTCATCAGGGCCTTGGGTGCATTTCCGGAATTTCAAGCGAGCAGAACGAACATCATAATCGCTCTCAAACAGTTTCTTGAAAACAGCTACAGCAGCATCGAACTGAGACACAATTACAGCACCAGCGCCGCCGGCGTCAGTGTCACTTACTCCAGGTTCGATGTTCTCCTGCTTGGTAGCTGAAGCAGCAGCTCGGTAGAGTCGACGTGCCTCCGCTCCGACTGCTGTCAACAGGAACGCTGTCCGACGACCGTCCGTCCAGTCCAACCACCCGCTGGCCTCAGCGAAGACCAGGAAGTCCTCGTACCATTGTCGCCAGCTCCCAGGACGCTGTCCCGGCCGCGACAGGAACTCCGGTGGCGCCGGTGACTGGAACATGTCGTCTTGAATGCAGTCCGCTTATCTCAGCCTCTTGTCGCCACTTGTAGTGTATTGCACTCACACATTCATCACTCACACTCAAGACTGAACAGTGTACATTCAACTCGACTAATGTGCCCCGCGCCCTTGCCGACGGCTCGCCGGCGGGCACCCGACTCCGTCTCTCGGCCGGCCCGGGCGCGGCGCCGCGGTGCGGCCGTCCCGGTTACCTGACCCGGCCGGCTAAAGGTCGGACTGGCTCCGGCCGCCGCTGCCAGCCGGCGGGGGGCCCGGGGAGGGGTACTACACTACAAGTGTGTAGTGTGTAGTGTCCACTGTCCACTCACCTCCTCCAGGTAGGGCTCGGTCTGGACGCGGTAGTGTTTGGAGTGGCGTGTAGTGTGTACTGTAGTGTCCACTCACCTCCTCCAGATAGGGCTCGGTCTGGACGCGGTAGTGTTTGGAATGTTGTTTAGTGTGTAGTGTCCACTCACCTCCTCCAGATAGGGCTCGGTCTGGACGCGGTAGTGTTTTCTGCCGGCCACTGCCGGCGGGGTGCGCACACGCTCGTCACGGCGCCGACCGGTGCCCAGGCCGCGCCGCGCCGCCGGACCGTTCTGCAGACCGGCATCGCGCCGGCGAGCCTCCTGGTACCGAATGATGTCCGTCAGACTGGGCCCGCCCTGAAACACACAGACAGATACAGTGCAGTCGCACTCAAACGGGCGCACGGTATACGGTGCAGGTGTACTCACGGGTTCGAGCCGCCCGGCGGTGCGGAGACGCCGTGGTGTTACAACTACCCGCACTACACCGTCACGACACGACAGCGAGCGTGCGGGAGTGGCCAGGGACTGAGGCTAGGGACCGTGAACTGCGCCTGGAGCCACTGATGCCTAGCCAACTGTGCCCGTAACACGTTGGTATCCAATCGATAGGTATAGCCAAGTTTACTGTTGACTGGCCTGGCCCACCTGTCTTCTGCGTGCTTCACGGGAAATGTCACTGTTTACTCACGATTCTTATCCAAAGGTTTTAAAAGCTGCTGCTGATAAGTTTTCCTTTTTACCCTAGCACATACATCTAATTCGATGAATCTCTGGGTCGCCATTCTGAAACTGTACGGTCTAGAGAGTTGCGATCTCTGTAGTATGTGGACTGTTGATTTCCGTAGAGAAATACGAAGGCTGACCGGGGTAGGCTGTTGGGGGTCCGCACTCCGCAGAATCTGTCAGAGCTCCACACCGGCCGGCAGGGTTGGTCAGCCTGTGTTTCAGAGTTAGTTCTGCAGACACCATGTTTGGTCACAGGTTGGCCGTCGGATGTCCGCGGGATCTCTGCCTCAGAGTTCCACAGACACCGTCACCGGCAGGTTAGTGGCGTCCACGGCGACCCCTGCGGCCGTCCATCGACCCTGCGGCGGCGTACGGACGTGTCGTGATCGGCGCCGATCGAGCCGGTCCGGTCCGGTCCGGTCCGGCCGTGACCGCCGATCGACCCGTGCAGTGGAACGGCGCCCCGTCACCGCCGTCACCGCAGTCAAACGGCCCAAAGGAATCCCGACAGTCATCGGGTTAGGTATTTACCGAAATGTGCTCAAAGGTCAAGGGCAACTACAGGCGCATTCCTGAAAGTTCCAGGAAAAAGGCTTGGAACAAGATGGTAAGCGCCAACAACCGTTGGTAACGGTACTAGTTAGCCTCATAGGGTGTCGCCAAAAGCAAAAAAAAAAAAAAAAAACTCCCAGCATAACTTTCGGACGAATAACGGCAAGCAAAAGTGATTTTTTTTTCTAAATCTTGTTTCCCGCGCTCCCGCAATACGGAGAAATGAAATGGCATGGGGCGTTTCAACGTCCCCATGCATGAATTGCAACCGGTGCAGCCTTGAGACTTGCAATTTGTGTTGAAGGCAAGATCGCCTGCACCGATCTATAGTGATCTAATGGCTGAATGTCACGCCCTTAATAAGTGTACCTACTACACAAAGCAAGACAAGTAAACCTAGCGGTGAGAAGTTTTAAAGCAAAGTTTTAAAGCAACAACAACGAGTTGCCCGTAAAGAGTTTCTTGGTTGCAATGGTCCGGAGTGAGACAGAAAGCGTCGTTCGACAAACAATCAAAATGATACAGCTTCACGAGGCCAATGATGGCAAACAATGTGTAACGTTTACCCAGACGCGAACCATCTATATTACTATTTGAGGAAGGCGTAGTTTCTGTCTATTACGAAGGTCGCGACATGGTGCTACGTAGCGCGGGTTACAGGTCACACCGTTGCACCTACCGCGCTGAAATTTGCGCAAGTTATAGAACAAGGATGGACAACGTGCCTTTGAGCGGTCTCGGCTCGATCGGATCGATAGCGAGCGCGTGGCGCGTGCCCAAAAAGTGCAAATTCGCGTCATAGACTTTACATGTATAAATCGGCTGGCAAAAACGGGCGAAAATGGCTAAATTTGCCCGACACGGGTCCGTTCCCCGTGCAATATCTCGGTAGCCGTGCGCCCGATCGGCACGGGGAAAACAGCATCGTGTAGAGAATCGAACGGGCAATCGAATAGTGTGCGGTGCAGGGGTGGCACGCGCCACGTGCAAGTGTGAGGGCAATTTCATTTCAAAAAGTGCCATTTTAAACGGATTTTGGATTTTATTTTATTTTCCCGTGACCATCAGACTGAGAGAGTTGAAACAACGTCAATTGCCAAGAGAAATGTACCGCCTCTCATGGAAAAATTGTGGACAGCTAATTGATCAAAAACAATGTGGAAAAAATCGCTGAATTAAATGGTATTTGTCCAAAATGTGCCACTAAAAAGTTACACGGGATTTGCTGCTTAACCTGATACGCTTGACAATTGAAAATGCTATCATTAGAAAGAGCATTCAATTCTCTCCAAGATCCAATCATCACGTTTACATGACAAGCAACAGTATTCTTAAAAATATAAATGTTTTAAACCTCTGCAAAGCGATTTTTAGCGAAAAATATCTACGCCTTTCATTTGTCTGAAAACTACGCACCTCAATTATAAAGCACATTTGGCAGATTCTGAAGTGGAAAGCATGCTTATCAGACACGGGCACCTCGATGCGGTGGATATTTTTTTCCACAAACCAAAACGTTTAGCCGTCAAAAAGCAATCGACCGAAATGGATAGATAACCCAACCGACACAAGAACAACCGAACACCCGCCGATCGAAAATATCCCTTTTCGCGTTGCGGAGCACGCGGGTCACCCTAGTCTATACTATTGTGCAGACTGTAATGCAAGGAGAGCGGAGGTGGTGCATCGCCCGGACACACACAGCAATGTCACGTCACAGTCACACTGCAGCCGCTGGTGTCGCGCGGTGGGGACAGACACTGGTGCCCACAACACCGACACAACGCTGGTGCAGAGCTCCGAACAAGGCATGCCGGGTGCGGGGAGGGAATCCGGCACAGAAGGTACTCACAACGTTCACAGTGGTCTGCCGTGGAAAAGAACAACAAGGTGGTGTGTGAGCTTCACGATCTTCTTGAAGCCTCCTGACATTTCAAACAGAGACAACTCGACATGCCTGCGATTTTAGAGCACACGAAGAATCGACAGTTCTCTGGTGAGAGCCTCTTTGAACCAACAGTGAGTGTAAGACGTAAATATTTAGACTAATGGTGCAGGTGGGCTCAGCTGAAGCAGCACCATTTTATCAGAGCATCTATGATCAATTTGTGATAGCAATCAGCACCGATAACGGACATCAGTGGCGATCAACAAAGATAGGTACTGGGGAAAAGAGCGATGCTCGTAATTAAATTCATTAAAGGCTTTGATGTAAAATTCGCAAATAAAGGTTGTGGTGGCACATTATAGGCATGGTAATACAAATAATCGCACGTATATTTCACTGCAGCAATAAATGTACAGGGTGACACAAAAAAAAAAACGGTCATCACCAAATTTCGTTCGAATAACTTCGAAAGTTTTATTCAGATCATCACCAAACTTCGGCCACTTAAGGTCACACCTATGTAGCATACATCCACCAAGTTTCAAGTCTTCACTACGAATACTTTTAGTACAGTGTGTGTATTACTGACGCTCTACAATGCGCTCCAGGTGAGCGCCACGGCGCTGCAGGGCGTAGGCACACTTGCATCCGGCGGGCAAAGTTGTCGATAACCCGATGGCTGTGCACTTTACAGAGTGCAATGGCCTCTGGAGACAGTGCTCAGGGGGTGTGCTACCCCTGAAACGTTATTCTTATCGGGTTATCGGCAACTTTGCCCGCGGGATGCAGGTGTGCCTACGCCCTGCAGCGCCGGGGCGCTCACCTGGAGCACATTGTGGAGCGTCCGTAAAACACACACTGTACTAAAAGTATTCGTAGTGAAGGCTTGAAACTTGGTGGATGCCTGCTACATAGGTGTGACCTAAAGTGGCCGAAGTTTGGTGATGATCTGAATAAAACTTCCGAAGTTATTCGAATTTTGGTGATGACCGCTTTTTTGTGTCACCCTGATTTCAGTGTAAAAACACAGATTTTCGTCCGATGGACCGTTAGTGCATGGTTTGAGTTATCATTTCAGCCTAAAGATGGAATGGACATATACAGTCACACTTGAAATATGTTTGGGCTTCTCTTAATGGTGCAGCTGAAATGTCACCAGTTAGCCGGGCCAACTGAACGCGGGTCATCGCCATGCCGAAGGAGTAGTCAACAAAGCAGCGACTCGAACCGGGCTCACATCGCCCGGTGCCCACCGGCTCGGGAGGCGGACAATCCTCACTAGTACCTACATAATTTAATCTATCTATAACTGATATACAATAGTCGAACAGTCATACCGCCGGACCGTAGAGCCGTATAACAAACCTAACTGTGGTTTCGCGATTTTAAAGGCCAAGGCAGATACTAAAAGAAAGATTTGGCCCATTGGTATTTGTATCGATAACTTAAGCCTCGTCAGATAACTCAAATACAAACAATATATGTTGTTTGAGCGACATTTGTTTCTTTGCGACGCCCGTTTATGCCTCTACGCCATACTGTTTCGCTAAATATTGTTACCCTTTTCACCTAGAAATACCATGTCACAAAAAAGGGCGGGAGGGGACCGGGCACTGGGAAGTCGCGACGGCGGTCCACTGGGTGACGGCGGAGGTGGCACCTCGGCAGTGGGCATACCCCGTCACTTCTGACTTGCCTTTGCGCAAGTTGAGCAGCGACATCCCCAGAGCGTGCTCAAAAACGCCTGACCGGGGTGATAGGCCTGTGGAACAGACAGCGCCAGCTGCAGGTTAAGAACCCTATACTGCCACTTATCTAGGCAAGGCGTCTCTTATTGAACAACGACCAGTGTCGAAGACTGCGCACCAGCAGAAATGAGCAAAATCAGAAAAGCGCTAGTTGATCAAAGGGGAGGGACACGAAGCGGCGCGTAAAAATTATAAAATCTGCTAACCGTTCACCAGGTCATTTACCAGAAGCAATGAACCAGAAGCAATACCAATGAAATCACCTGATGTGACTCACTCGTTTTTCATGCCCTTAAGAATTTCATGAAAACGTCAGTGACTTCGAAATAAAAAGCAGACCACACCCTAGCCCAGGTCCGGTCACCCAGACCGCACCCATTTTATTGCATGCACTTTCACACTCATATGTATGAGCATCCTGCAAGCATTTTTTTTCAAAT